GCAGGAGAAAAACACTTTCTCTGAATATCCATGCGTAGGACGGCTGCGGGGATCGAACCCCGGCCGCCTGAGTGGAAGAACGGAGTGTTAACCGCTCGGTCAATCCGCCCATTAACACCTCGATGGTATGTTTACATAATTAGGTTATTTAAATTGATCCTCCTATACCATCGACCTGTTCTGAAACATGCGAAATGTGTACCTTTCAAGAACGGCCGTACATCCCGAATGTGATAGTTCGTCATCTGTTCATTCCTGCCACTCAGATAGAACATTCGGAACGCCTCCACTTCATCTGTCATTGGATCAATTACATAGGCTCCTAAACCTTCCATCCAATCGTCTTTCTTCCATAGATGACTTTCCTATAAACGCAAATAATACTTATACAGTATACATGACTTGTTAAAATTCTTTATAAGTGTGCGTTTAATTTATTATTTGTGATGATATGATCAGCTAAGTGACATATTATGGTGTCACTTGACGCGTAACTAATGTTGTAATTTGACTTTGGGAATGATGTATTACTCCTTTTTTTCTAACTTTTTAGGTCCAACTGCGTGACTCTCCTTCAAATATTTATCTATCACAAATAGAAGTACATGATCTGACCCACAAACAGGCATATTTTGTTTTAAAGGTAAGCATGTTACCTGTTCGCTATGTGTATTCAGTTCCTCTCGTTGTGTTCTTGTGTAACCTTATTATGTTGATGAGGCGTAGAATTAAAAATAAACAAGCGATATTTAACTTAACTTTCTTACACACTTTTGTGTCTATGATACATGAACATACGATATTATATATTATGATATTAAGCACAAATATGAGTTTAACTTAATTAATATTTCAGTCAAAGTGAATCTTTACAAATGCTACAAAAGGTCATCCTCTCACAAATAAGGCTTATCTTTCTTTGAATTTTTTTATATTTAACATTTACATCTATAAAGTTTTATTCAATATGCTTCCACCTACTCTTTACAACGATAGTAGGAGCCATCCGTTTGCTTATATTAGTTTCCTTGACATTAATTATAACTATCATGTAATGATATTATTCGTGATAAAGATCCTTCATGTATTATTGGGTAATTTAAGACTGTTATTACAGTCGTTTTCGCTTTTTAATCCTCAGTGTATCACTGTATTAACAATGCCTTCTCTCCTTCTGGTTAACTTAGGGCTGAAATAACTTTTATGTCTGCTTCCTACTGTTTACTCACTGCATCGACTGTAATTACAGTCATGTTTTCTTACTGGTTACATTATCACTGTTATAACAGTACAGTCTGTCCCTGTTGGCACCCTACTGGTTAATGTAAGACTTATATCAAGTTCTTTCTGTCCCTTACCGGTTACCTTATGACTGTAGACATATCCGTGCCCCTGCGTTAGTTTGGGCACAGTTCTGTTAAGCTTTGTCCAGGACACCTTCTCCCTTCCATGAAGTTCAAGTATACCACCACTGTCCACACCGATAAACTTCTCTCCAAAACCAATTACGTCATAGTCACCACGCTTACCTGTAAATACGTCAGGATATATAATTGTTCAATCAAGCATGGGGTCCGTATAACATGTATAGTACATTTTTCAGTATAATATTTTGCACTTGTGCGGAACACAGTTTTCTTGTGTATTATAGTGTATATATCCAGCATCATACGTAGTTCTATTAACGCTTAAATATACTAATAAGCTATCATGATTTTCTTTCCCCTTATAACGGTCAAATACCAGTACTTGTGTAATTATCAGTGTAAAATCAACAAGGGAGATAACCTGCCTCTGTCATAGCTTACCTGTAATGGTGATGATAGTCCTACCACCATACTTGCAGTCCTCCGATCCGATGTCCATCCGCCCCTGTACGAGGAGAAAGCCCACGGTCAGGTTGACACTCCCCGTGGGTTTCCATACCAGTCTACCACCATGAGATATTGTCACACTTGTTAAGGTTGGCGGGGTGATATCCAACAAAATAGCTGTATGCACCTTCACTTCCTCCATAAAGCTGGGAGTCTTAATGAGGAAGCAAAAGTTCCAGTTTATAACATCAGTAATTGAATGGTTAGGCTTTTCAAAGACATTGTTTTCCTATGAAATATTTAGCAATACCTATCCGGGAACCCATTCTTTGTTAATACATTGATATACATAGTATCACACGGAGTGATGCAACAACAGTAGTGAACTGCTTGTGAATCCCTTCAGGAATATATTTCCATAATAACAATGTTTGTATAGCAACAAAACAATATCACACCATACGTCAATCTAACAATATTTCGAGCTATGAAATATTTTTATTTGTAGTAGGTAAACTAAAATGACCTGGGGAAACGGAAACACGTGACAGGATCTCAACAGGCCCCGTTTTCATCAACGTTCCTTAACTTTAATGTTTCCTTAACTTAAAATCGCTAAGGTATTCCTTAAATTTAAGGAAGGATTAAAGTTAAGGAAGCTTCATGAAACGCGATTTTATTTGAGTTAATTAAGTAATTTCCTTAAATTTAAGGGAAAAGCTGATTTTAGGAGCTCTTTAAAATTAAGGAAAGTTGATGAAGCCGGGGCCACGTTACCAACCATTCCGCTGGGCCAGCTGGCAGGATTTGACCACGGCCTCAATGCAGGGTCTTCATGTGGACAGGAAGCGTGAACGACGCCAATCTGATGGTAAAAGAGTTAATAGAAACGTAATATTAATATATGGGAATAAATACAATCTATGCAACACGTCATATACATCGACCTTGAGCAAGATAAAGTCTATTTTTCCAGTTATGTGTATGCAAAATTAACAGAAACTTTCGGCCTCTTGCGGTCGAGTTTAAGCGAAAGGGAATAGTCTTAAGTTACCAAACGCGAGGTCTCTCCAACGCTTAAAATGCCCTTTTCAACCACAGGGGGCATTCTTGTTTTAACCCACACTACCCCAGGTATATTCCAAATTTTGCAAGGAAAAAGATAAACCTTTCTCTCCCTTCCTAGAAAAAGATAGCTCACACGCGCAATTATTCTTGAAACGTCATAAACGCCGCATCACTTAATGCTGTATTGCCAGGGTAACGTCATTTATTTTGTCAAACACTCCATGCTCTCTTGGTGGTGGTGCGAAGTATTGGGTTAACAATAACAATTAATTTTTAGGATAGGAAAGTGAAAGAAAATTATAATCAATCACTCCTGTGTGATGTAAGCACAAAAATTTCAACCCTCGGGATAATATTTTTGAATTTAGCACGAGGCTTTAAACTGCAACATTATTACCCTCGGGTTGAGATTTCTCTGTCTTTCTCGCACAGTAGTGATATATGCTATTACTCTCACTTAGCTGACCCCGTCATATATATAATGAAAATGTTAATGTTACAGGGTCATTGCATGTTTGACGTGACGTTAGTAAATTCCCTATCTCCATACCTACGTGTGATAGAGTCTTTACGTAAACCACAATATACATCAATTTGCGGATACATACCATTTACGTAGCACATCATATATCATATACATGTATAATCATTTATATTTCAATTAGAGTGCTTAAATAAATTATTACCATTTAATTATCATTTACGATATGTGCACAATGGTTCCAATATTTAGCATCCTACTAACGGTTACTGATGTCAATGAAATTAGAGAACAGGCACAGACTTCTCCATATAAATAATATACAGGTGGCAACAAATGAACATGCAATAAAAAAAATATAATAATAAGTATAAAACACTGTCTGGTGGTCCGACGTCATTTAACCTGTATGATAGGTTGTAATTAAAATGAATAAGTCGGTAAAACAAACTATCTTTCAATATAACGATATATAGATGTCAGAAAAAATTGTATACTCATCATAGTGGTATGTAGATTAAATAATGCATCGCAGGTGTGCATTTAAACGGCAACACTTACAGAAATATATTGTTTTATCGTTTAACCCGACACGGACGTCATTTATCGTACTCTGTTTTAAACAAGTTCACTAAGTTAACTCGTTAAACATCTTTCAGATGGTTAAACCATTGATTTATGTATTGAGTTTAATTTACAAATTCAATTTTCCTATAAGATGATTGTTTTAAATATGTGACAGTTACAAAAATAATCATAAATATATGTAATTTATGTACCGAACGTGTACAAGGTATTAAATGGTTTCCCGTTTTTCACGAGTATGACAGAATGCCTGCAAATTTTCACGAGTGCGTGCCGTGCGAATAAAAATGCTTGTATTCAACGGAAAATTAATTAATCTTTATTAGAGAGGAAAATAGCAAAGCATCACATACGTGGAGAAATGTATAGGGTAACCATAGATAATGATGTCACGCTTAAAAGCAAAGGCTGCACACCATTTTGATTGAGCTACTCCTTTTATCTGATCATTTTTGTTATTATTAATTTATAAAGTGTGTAGTTAAGTAAAGATACAAGTTTTTGTAACAAATATTCGCCAGAACAAACGTAAATCCCACCCTTTCTTTATTTGCGTCTATCTAATAATCCTTTGAATGCAGTAATTAAAAAGTACTCTTCTGATTGGTCAATACCGTAAGAAACATCTTCCAACTAGTACTGTGGCGGTAACACTTGTGATAGCTGTTACTGTGTGAAAGATATAAGATAGTCATTTTTATAGAATCAAGTATCTTAATGGCAAAGTTGTAATGAAAGAAAGAATTGAATAGCATTAAATCAATTTTACTTTCGCCAAGCTGTGACAGTTACGTAAAAAGATCAAATGACTTATAAAAAGATCAAATCTTCTAAAAAAAAAAAGAAGCAAAATTAGCATGTCCCTGATGTCCAAAGGCTGTGTATATATCATACACACATCGAAAAGGTCTATGTGTCATAACTGTCATATTTTGATGAATCATCCAAATTAAATTATGCATCTCCGCTAAGGCGCATTGCATTTCTTGCACCCTGTGTGAAAAACAACTGATGTTTGAGTTTGTTGTATGCACATATCTGCATATCGGATATGAAAAGGCTGTCGCTCACAGAATTTCAAGCTGTCGAGCTGGTGGCAATATGCATGAACAAATAAGCTTATGAATATGTATTTGCTTTTTTAAAAACACATCGATTCAAAGTGAATATATCAAGTATTCCTAACAAACATACAAACATATGCTGTGATTAAAATTCTATTTTAACTAGCAGTGATTCAGACTATTTTCTTTTTTGAGACATTTGAAAACAATATCAAAACTTCTGTTCTGAGTATAATTCATAATTGCTAACAACTTATCCAGGACACTGTCACAGCGTCAACAAAAGATACAGGTTTATGATAAATGACAGTAGCGACCAAGGCCCACACTTAAACGAAAGGAAAGAAATCATAAACCAGTACATGAAATCAAGGAAGGAAAGATATGTTCCAATAAGATAAGCGTGTCTTGTAGCACATGTGGATTCTGCAACGTGTCTAAAGTTATAGCAGTCAAAGAAAGCCCATTGTTCCAAATATGGTAATGATGAGGCCTATAAAATATCATCAATGTAAACTGAGATCCCTCCAGTAGAAAACCTTGACTACGTAATTTTTGTTCAACAGAAAATACCAGAAATATTCAGAAAGTTCGTAGAGTATGTTTCCTATAGAACTGGTAAATAAACCCATCACAATAAACCCATTCAGCAGTCTTGGCATTTCATTGTACATGTAGTATAACTATAATGGTCAATCTATGGCAATTTTTAACGTAGATGCTTTCATTGGGTAGTGCTAGAATTGTTGAAAGCTAACTGTGAGCGCCGAAATGGCAGCACCGGCTGTATG